CACTAAAATACTTTGCAATTAGTTTGACAAAAATAACTCCTAATAAGTAAAAATAAAGAATAGCAACCACAATGTAAAAAGAAAGAATAGAGACCACAAGAAAGGAGAAAACTTGCCGTAAGCAACAGAAGGAATGAATGAGAGAGCAACCTAAGAACTGAAATGAAACTTCAAACCCAAATGTTTCAAACACACATTCAGATTCAAAGGTTTCAAGTTTGAAAACAAAGAAGCCAGCTTTTTGAAGACTGAAGAGGCTTGTTCCATTCCACATGAATCACACATTCTTTACTGTTATATACAAAAGAATGGGCATCCAGAGAAAAAGGAAACTTGTCATGGAATGAGAAACACTGAAGTACATTTGACATCAGATCGAGGCATAGAGGGAAAACTTCTCATTTTAGGAAGAAAAAAATAAAAATGGAGGACATGTGCCCCACTAGGCCACTATTATATTATATCCCTTCAATTATTAATACAGAAAATTATACCCACGTTCACATCCCCCTCAAAGTTTACGGTAATATGAAATAATGGGTGTCTTGCAAGTGATCTTTAATCACTAAAATTTTAATTTTTTGAACTACCCATGTGCTCGAAAAGATCAAATTTACCCCTTTAATCCCTATGTGCCACCATCCTTCGAAGGAACTCATTTTTTACGGTCCCGACCTTGGTGGAACTTGTTAAAAAATAAAAAATAAAAAGACTGAGAAGGAATTTAAAAAAAAGATAAGAGTATAAATATAAGAGAATTTTTTTTTTTAGAAAAAGAGCGTCCAATCAAACATGCCCGCATGTTAAAAAAATCCCCTTTGAAGACCCTAAAATAGGAAAAAATCTAGCATACAACCGACGTATGTACAGACCAATAACAACATGTCATGTCACCTTTTCTATTCAAGATAGAAAAAAAAAACTCACTTTTATATTTATACTATGGGAAAAATGTCTATCATTTAAAATTACATAACTTACATCCTTTCACTCTCACAAAGAGGTGGGACCCACACCTTTATTTTTTCTGTCAACTCTCTTTCCTCCTTAATCTATCTCTTTCTCTCTCTCTTAAAATGACACAATTTTACATCCTTTAAAATTATACACACTTTTCCCTTATACTATATACTACCCATAATACATAATAGTCTGAATACCAATATTACACCCACTAATTGGGACTACCGTAATACCCAAGATGTGCTCCTAAAATATGGGTCTCATACAAACGCATAGATATCTCAAAAATCCCCTCCATCTTTTCTCGTGCTTATCTCTTATCCCCCATTCCTTATTCTCTTTTTTCTTTTGTTTTAGGTGGTGTTTGGTTCAGTGAAAAAAAAATTTACTAGGGATCTGCAGGAAAAGTGAGATAGATCGTAAAATTTTAAAAAAGTTATTTGGATGGGCAAAATTTTACTAGGAAAATTTGAGTGAAATTCCTGAATGTGTGTTTGGTTCAAGATAAAATATTTATGGAAAAATTTATTAAAATTACAAAATTAGCCTTTTAAAAATAACCCTATAAGACCAATTATCCTTTTCACATGTGGGGGTAATTGTGTCACCTATTTGTACCACTTTTCACTTATCCAGTTTTCAAAGACAAATACCACTTTCAATAATGCTTTATAGAACCGTCATTTTGTTACTTTTTACATGCAAAACATGATAACTAGGCAACTCACTTTGCTGGGTAAAATTGAAGAAATCGATGAACCAAACATGGACAATTGGATATGTGGGAATCACTTTGCTAGGAAACAATGAAGAATCCTTGAACCAAACACCACTTTAGGGTTTGATAATTGGGACATCATCTTTCTCAAGGAGAAATAAAATTGTCTCCATCAATATCATAAATTCTTTTGCAAAGCCTGCCTTGGTAATATTCCTAACCTAACTTTGCAATGTTCCAAATAGTGACGTTTGATCTTAACAATCTATTTCTAACTAACTCTTATAATGTTATGATAACTGAACTGAACAAGTCTCAAATCTCGTATTGTTGATGGATTTTAGATTAAATATTATTTTGGGTCCTTAACAAAAAATACGGTCTCCACTTTAGTTTTTTTTAAAAAAAAATTAGTCAGTTGGTTTCTATGAAATTCAAAGTGGACTCATTTTAGTTCTTTTAAAGGACTAACATGGATTTTTTTTGAATTTGTGAAGGACCACGATTTCAACTAACTAGGTCCACTTTGAATTTCTTAGAGACCTCGAGACTAATTCTTTTTTGTAAAGGACTAATGTGAGGATCATGTTTTTTGTTAGGGACCAAAAATGATATTTAGTCTATATTTTAATTTATCTTCCACGCTATCTAACCATTTATCTGCATTATCACTGTTTATAGCTTGTAAAATATAATTGGATCATTCTCCATTCTTATGTCAATTTAAAATCCTGTAGATATTTCAAATAATTATTAAAAATAGTATATCTCCTTTTCTATTAAGATCTTCTGAATATTAAATGTTGTGCTTCTTCTACTATAGGATTGTTTATTTGAATTTAATATTCGTAATTATTAATTGGTTTAATAATACGAAGATAACAATTTTATTAAAAACATAAGTTAAAGGAAATTGTACTTTGAATTCTTAAATCTCTATTTTATCCGTTATTTCATTTTCACTAATTTTGCCATTTCTGTACAAAATATTCACTGACATATTTTATGCGTATTCATTTTTAGGATAGGATATTATAACTACTTATTTTCGTGCTTATTTTGCCTAGTTTCTTCTAACATCGATAGAGTACAATCTCAATTAATTTTCACCTTTTTTTCTCTCCTCCCATCATTAATTAAGATTATGATCTAACCATATTTAAAAATATAGATAAAGTAGACATAAAAAAATAAATATAATATCTTATCCCTTTTAAAAAAAAATAAAAATAAAACATTCTACAATTCTATTATAAGTATACTTTAACCAATATTATTATTGGCAAATCTCGAGCACTGTTTATTAGATAACACTTATTAATTAATTATTAATTCTCAATAACTTATAACCACAAGATTGACGGAGATTAATTGTTCGGATAAAGTGTCAAACTTTTTTTTTTGATAAACCACATGTATCCTTCACAGGAGGCAATCATATTCGAGCCGGAAACATCCACATTATAATGAGGCTAGCTCTCTCATATTAGACTTTTCCGTTTTTGACATTAGTGTCAAATGATCATGTGTGCGTGGAAAAATATTTCTACTTTTTTTGCATAAATTTAATTTCTACATTAAAAGAAGAAATGTTAAACCCATATATAAGCGAAGGTTCTTTTCACTCTGATATAATAATAAGAAATTTTATTTTACATCTCAACCTCTGTACATTTGACAAATGTAATTTATTAGAAATTAATAATTAATTTTTTGACATGATTCAATAAATTATAATTAGGGGTGGCAAACGAACCAGGGTCCTTTCAGGGGTCTTTGACTCGGCTCATGAAGACCTGAGCTTACATATCTAAAATTGGTTGTTGGAACCAGGCTTAGACCTGTATAAAAGCTCGTTTAATAAAAATGTCTCAAGCTTCAATTCAAAAGCTCGGCCTTAGAGCCTCCTAGGCTGGCATAGTATTTTTATTTTTATTTTATATTTTATACTACGTGTAATAGCCCCCTTTCTCTCCTCAATCTATTTCACCTAATTTTATTGGTTAAACAGACTTTTTGAATGATTTTGTTCTATATTATGCTGTTTAGATATATATTGAATTTATGAAATTACTAGTATTGTTGAAATTAGGCTTTATTGTTTCTACAGTGAATGTAGATAAGTTATCTACATTTGGTCTCAAAACGACGTCGTTTTGAGTTGAAAAATTAAAAAATTATAATGAAAAAGACTATTATAACCCTGAAATAAATTATAATTATAAAAATACCCTAATTTCTGCCTCAAAACGACATCATTTTGAGCTCAATGTAGATAAGTTATCTACATTAACTAACTGTAGAAAAAGCAAACCCATTAAATTAATGAGGGTATATTTTTTTGATATTACATGAGACAACATACCCCACTTGTATTTTCCTAAATTAATACTCCGATTTCTCAAAGACTATAAAAACGTGACTGTTTACTTAGCAAGGTGATGAAAATATCTTTTTCCGTTTACCAAATCAAACGTAAGACATATTTTTCTCTGAGGTAGATGAATACAAATGGTGATGACCCCAATTTCTCAAAGGCAATAAAAACGTGACTGTTTACTTGACATGTATGGTTTTAGTCAAACAATATAAATAATTCCAATGAGATAAGATGCATGTCATTCTCATTAGTGCTGAAGGGTCAAAATTAAGAATAAATGAATAATGAGTTTGTTAGACTGTTTGGCTTGGTGGTTCCCTATTTGAATTCTAATAGAATGTATTCTTTTTGTCACTTACAGAGCAACACCTGAGTAATGCTGTGTATATAACTATTTTAAGAGATTACTTTCTCACCTCCTGGTAAGGGATATTGTGGAAAATCATATCATTGAAAGGTGTTTAACGTTACAACTCTTTTATGGAGAATCAAAGCTGCATAACCTTGTGTACTGGGGATTTGCTTTGCCTTTTATAAAAAAATCACTCTCCGTTAAATCCGATTAACGAGTGTGAGGTGGAAGAAATCATTGTACGCAGCCTTACCCTTACATAATTGCAAAGAAGTTGTTTTCTGGATTCGTACTCATAACCTTTCAGTCATGAAGAAATAGTTTTATTATTGCTCTCATTTGCTCCCTTTATATGTCACATTAATCTTGATGTATATCAATGAAGTGTTAAATAATTTTGGACTAATGTAATAATCTATATGATATTAAACTTTCAATCCGACGGAGAATTTTGAGATAAAATTATCCGGTAAAAAGGGTTAAAAAAATGTAAGGATAAGGAAGTGAGATATTTGTAATAGAGTTAACTAGTAAAACAAATTCTTATTCTGTTTTAAGAAAAAAATTACAATACTACTAAAGGCACAAGTAATAATAACATTACAGCAAGCTCCACGAGAATCAAGACTCAAGAGTGCATAAGTTTGTATCAAGTTTTTTTGGTGTCGAAATTTGTTCTTTTCACAACCTGAAAGGCTGCAAGGCAGAGTTCCCATCAAGCCCTTTTGCAAAATGATGTGCCATGAAATCAATTATGGTAGTGTCCCTATAGATTGGTGGGTTTTCTTCTGATAACAATTCCTTAATTGGACCATAAACCTTTGGTGTAACTTCATCTGGATCACGAGAATTTACAAAGAAGCTAGCTACTGAAACTCTTGGCCCTCTATGACTTGATAAGACCCGATGATAAACACTAACGAAACTGTCATTTGTTATAAGCTGCAACAATAGCAAGGAATGCATAAATATAGTCCTCACAAACTGTTGCTACGAAGAAGCATGTTAATATTTTATTTTTATTTTTTTCCTATGAGCAAACATAAGCACATTTGTGAATTATGACCAACAAGCACCTATAGTAATGTCTAATGTCTATGGAGCAAGAAATGTAAACACAGAAAAGGTTAATTGTTTATGAACCACTGAAAGCCATATCAAAGAAAAATATAATACCTAGGCATAGTGGCAAGTCATATGCAATGACACGGTTACATCTTTGATAAAACTTAGTCAATTCTTCCCAAGGCCTTGTTCATTCCTTAAGTTTTTCTTCATTTGGTGATAAAATTTTTTATCATCCATACATCTTTCAATATACATTTTTGATCCTAACGGATCAAGATTTCTGTAGGATCTATAAGCTTGCAGTTTTATAGAGGTAACAGCTGTGTAAAGTGATAGATCACAGTGCACAAACAAGAGACAGAGAAAAAAAGGGGTGTGCGCGCATAATAATAGCTAGAGCCTAGAAAGATTAAGGTTTCAAGAGAGATTCACCTGAGACAGGACAAGGCTCAATATCTAAGGCTGATAAGCTCATTATGCAGGTTCATAACAATACATATTTAAAAAGCTAGCCCAAACCATAAAATCATCTCACTGGATTTGATGTATATATTTTATCTTTTGTAGTTATCTTAATACAATTTATCAATAGGAAACATAACAACTACTGAAAATGCTAAATAATTACCACTAGAATACTTACTTGTAGAAGATCTCCTATGTTTACAACAAGAGCTCCATGCACAGGAGGAACATTAAACCATTGATCCTTATGAAGAACTTGAAGACCACCCAGTTGGTCTTGTAGAACTATTGTCATGAAGTCACTATCAGTGTGCTTGGACGTGCCCATAGTTAATTCAGGTTCAGGGCATGGTGGGTAGTAATGACCCTGATTAAAAAGTCCTTTAGCACAATTCAATTCTTTGAGGTAAGATGGATGAAGGCCAAGAGCATCTGACAATAACTCAAAAATTGTACAACCCAGTAACATTATTTTCTCCGAATATTCAATCATAATGTCTCTGCAAGTACATAAACAATTCATCAAGAATTACAAATTGTTCAAATTAACAGTTTCTGAAACTAAAATGCAAAAGTGACCAATACCCAAAAAAAAAACATATATCAGATATGAAATGTTCTCCTTGTAACAAATAATTGGCAAGCAGTAAGGCCTAACTCCATAATCTTCTTATTGACAACATAGCTAGATATATAACAAAAAATACAAAGGCAAACAGAAACCATTTTTGCAAAATTATAAAGTACTATAAAATCTAAGTACAGTACTAACTCATTACCTAAATACTGCAGGCAATTCTTCAGGTTTGGGTGGATAAGGAGCCATAGAACATCCAATTGTATCTCTCCAGTTAGCATATTTGTCTCGGAACAGACTAGTATTGGAATTATATATGATTTTACTTTTTAAATCTCGAGTGTAAAATTGTTTCCTAACATCAGCATCTTGTTCATGAAACCTACGGATTCCATCAACCATCTCATCCATAACGCTGATTGGAATTCCATGATTAATCACTTGGAAAAATCCCCACTCGTGGCATGCACTTTGAATTTTGGTAACAACTTCTGTATGTAGAGCTTGACTGTTGTGTATGTCTCTGAGGTCTATGATGGGAACACTCAACATGGAATCACTGGTTGAGTTTTCAGTGGTGTCTACAAACTTGCCAGAATGGAACATGCGTGGGATCTTTTTCACCCCAGAATCTACAATACCTTTAACACCAGCTTTTGAATCATCAAATGCTTTTATCTCAGCTTTTCTGTCATAATTGGAATCAGTGCCTGCCTCTATCTGGTTTGTGCTTTTGACCTCCATAATTCCTCTAACACAAAAAAGTGTATAATCAAAGCACTGGGTATTGAAATTGAAATCTAAAGAAAGTGAGAGTAGGAGAGAATACAAACCCAAATGACCCAAGGGAAAGAAAGAATCATATAATTAAGAAAACGTGGATGCAACCACCAAGCATGTGGATCAACCGGCCAAAAGCATATTTTTTACATAAATCCACAACTAGTTTGGGATGATGTTTATAAAGAACAAATTCAACCCAAAAGTTTAAGCTGTTGGAATAAGGTGACTTTAACAGTGTTATATATCTCTAATACGTCCTCTCACACAAAAATTCATTGGACTTGGAGAGTAGATGATGCATCAGGCTCAGACTACCTATGCTAAGAAAGTTCACAATAATTAATAATTTTTATTAAGAGAATGGGAGACGGTGAGAATTGAACTAGTGACCACTTGACCACGGAAGCTCGTATACCATGGAAAGAATCAATTTATCAAGTATAGATTATGTTCAGTTTATAAAAGGTTACAATAAGATATTTGTGGCAATTACATAAAGGAATAAAATAAAATATAAGGAAAAAAAGTTAAATCACGTAGTCAATGATATTCCACTAATTTAACTAAGTTGCACTTTTATTACCATATTATTAGTTAACAAACCGGCTTCAAACGGAGCGTTAAAAATATTCCAATTTCTCAAAGACAAAATGAAAAATGTGACAATAGATGTTGATGATAAACGAGACAAATGAATAAGAAATGAGTATCCCATTGTCTCAAAGACATAACAAAAACACGACATTTTTTCTGGCTTGTATGATTTGTGTCCTCAGCCTCAATTAACATGACAATAATCAAATCAGATAACGACTTTTGAAGGATCAGACACAACAATAAATAAATGATAAATCCATTTCACGGCTTTGAACGATAATTCTGAAAAAGAAAAAATAATTATAAAGAAATTTAAGACAGCAATTAGTTTGAATCTTCCTCACTAAAATACTTTGCAATTAGTTTGACAAAAATAACTCCTAATAAGTAAAAAATAAAGAATAGCAACCACAATGTAAAAAGAAAGAATAGAGACGACAAGAAAGGAGAAAACTTACCGTAAGCAACAGAAGGAATGAATGAGAGAGCAACCTAAGAACTGAAATGAAACTTCAAACCCAAATGTTTCAAACACACATTCAGATTCAAAGGTTTCAAGTTTGAAAACAAAGAAGCCAGCTTTTTGAAGACTGAAGAGGCTTGTTCCATTCCACATGAATCACACATTCTTTACTGTTATATACAAAAGAATGGGCATCCAGAGAAAAAGGAAACTTGTCATGGAATGAGAAACACTGAAGTACATTTGACATCAGATCGAGGCATAGAGGGAAAACTTCTCATTTTAGGAAGAAAAAAATAAAAATGGAGGACATGTGCCCCACTAGGCCACTATTATATTATATCACTTCAATTATTAATACAGAAAATTATACCCACGTTCACATCCCCCTCAAAGTTTACGGTAATACGAAGGGCTTTATTAATCTCCATCAATAGGAGAGAAGTATCTCCTACCACTCTCACAATCATGTGGTGGGACCCGCATAATTATAAAATAAAAAAATAAAAAATAAAAAAGCTCAAGGATCGATATCTCTATAGGAAAATAAACCTATCTCCTATGGCATAAGACTAGTTTTTTCCTAATATGAAATAATGGGTGTCTTGCAAGTGATCTTTAATCACTAAAATTTTAATTTTTTGAACTACCCATGTGCTCGAAAAGATCAAATTTACCCCTTTAATCCCTATGTGCCACCATCCTTCGAAGGAACTCATTTTTTACGGTCCCGACCTTGGTGGAACTTGTTCAAAAATAGAAAAAAAAAAAAAAAAAGACTGAGAAGGAATTTAAAAAAAAAGAGAAGAGTATAAATAAAAGAGATTTTTTTTTTTTTAGAAAAAGAGCGTCCAATCAAACATGCCCGCATGTTAAAAAAATCCCCTTTGAAGACCCTAAAATAGGAAAAAAATCTAGCATACAACCGACGTATGTACAGACCAATAACAGCATGTCATGTCACCTTTTCTATTGAAGATAGAAAAAAAAAACTCACTTTTATATTTATACTATAGGAAAAATGTCTATCATTTAAAATTACATAACTTACATCTTTTCACTCTCACAAAGAGGTGGGATCCACACCTTTATTTTTTCTGTCAACTCTCTCTCCTCCTTAATCTATCTCTTTCTCTCTCTCTTAAAATGACACAACTTTACATCCTTTAAAATTATACACACTTTTCCCTTATACTATATACTACCCATAATACATAATAGTCTGAATACCAATATTACACCCACTAATTGGGACTACCGTAATACCCAAGATGTGCTCCTAAAATAGGGGTCTCATACAAACGCATAGATATCTCAAAAATGCCCTCCATCTTTTCTCGTGCTTATCTCTTATCCCCCGTTCCTTATTCTCTTTTTTCTTTTATTTTAGGTGGTGTTTGGTTCAGGTGAAAAAAATTTTTACTGGGGATCTGCAGGAAAAGTGAGATAGATAGTAAAATTTTAAAAAAGTTGTTTGGTTGGACAAAATTTTACTAGGAAAATTTGAGTGAAATTCCTGAATGTGTGTTTGGTTGAAAATAAAATATTGATGGAAAAATTTATTAAAATTACAAAATTAGCCTTTTAAAAATAACCCTATAAGACCAATTATCCTTTTCACATGTGGGGGTAATTGTGTCACCTATTTGTACCACTTTTCACTTATCAAGTTCTCAAAGACAAATACCACCTTTAATAATGCTTTCTAGAACCGTCATTTTGTTACTTTTTACATGCAAAACATGACAACTAGGCAACTCACTTTGCTGGGTAAAATTGAAGAAATCGATGAACCAAACATGGACAATTGGATATGTGGGAATCACTTTGCTAGGAAACAATGAAGAATCCTTGAACCAAACACCACTTTAGGGTTTGATAATTGGGACATCATCTTTCTCAAGGAGAAATAAAATTGTCTCCATCAATATCATAAATTCTTTTGCAAAGCCTGCCTTGGTAATATTCCTAACCTAACTTTGCAATGTTCCAAATAGTGACGTTTGATCTTAACAATCTATTTCTAGCTAACTCTTATAATGTTATGATAACTGAACTGAACAAGTCTCAAATCTCGTATTCTTGATGGATTTTAGAATAAATATTATTTTGGATCCTTAACAAAAAATACGGTCTCCACTTTAGTTTTTTTTTAAAAAAAATTAGTCAGTTGGTTTCTATGAAATTCAAAGTGGACTCATTTTAGTTCTTTTAAGGGACTAACATGGATTTTTTTTGAATTTGTGAAGGACCACGATTTCAACTAACTGGGTCCGGCTTTTTGACCCTTATGACCCTTAATTAATAATTAATTACCAAATTGCCCTTCATTCAAAACTATTTCGAAAATTTACCCTCCCCAACAAACATAACACCAATCTGCCCCTGTTTGACCGTTGACCACGAAGCCTACCCGGGTACACCATTACCTACCCGGGTAATTTTTGAAAAATTTTTATCTACCCGAGTATGTAGGAGTGTACCCGGGTAGAGTTCTTGAATCTGGGAAAATGGTTGAATTATTTACCCGGGTATGGATCAGTGTACCCGGGTAAATCGCGTCCAGAAACCCCAATATGTATGGGTTTCGGCCATTGTTGCGAGGTATAGGGTTTTTGAAACCCCAAATCTCTCTCTCTTACCCTCTCTAATCCGAAACATCACACATATTTCATCTCATCATTTCAGAAAGCTGAATCTTGGTGGGACATTGAGATTACATCTCCACACTCCCATTTTGTGCTCAAAAATCCGAACCAACCTCCAAACCCAAAACCTAGATCTAATTTTTGTGTGAAAGATGAGTTCAAGTCCAAACATGGTTCCTATAGTTATTTACTACAATGGGAGGCATTTTGAAGGTCCGAACGGTGTCCGATTTGAAGGAAAAACAAAAACGATGAAAATCAAAGTGGGCACTACATGCAATGAACTGAAGGAGAGAATTCTTCAAAAAATGGGGTCAGAAGGCATACATTCCATCCACCGCATGATAGCCAGGTTAGAGACTGTAGTGGATATGGATACAATATACTACATTGGAAACGATATAAATGATGATGAAGATGTGGAGTTCGTAACAGATGCGTTTGTAGAATGGAAAGTATTAAAATATATTGAGATATATGTTGAAGTTGATGTTGGACAATCTTCATCTTTACCGGTGCATACAACCACTACTGCACACTGTACCGGTCAAGAAGATACAGTTGTACGATCTTCTGCACCTCCTCAGGTAGCATTGGATGAGGATGAAGACGAGGACTATGTGGACAGCGAAGATGAGGGAGAACCTGAAAGTGCTATTCCAGAAGGTGATTCGTCAGACACTGACGTGGACGGTAATTTTGAGGCTGACATGAGCGCCGTAAGTCTCGGTACCCCAGCCTTGTCACCACTTCATGTCGACCCAGTCAGTAGTGGTGAGTTATTAAATTTGAACATTTGCTTTAGACAATTTATTATTTGTGGTGGTATTCATTCAGACAAATGAAAGTTGATCTTTAAATGCAGGGTCTGAGGAGCCATTCTGGAATGAAAGCCAACATTATTCATTCATTAACTGGGCGCACCCTAATGACGAGTTGGAGATCCTATATGGCGATGATGACTTGCACGGAGGTTGGAAGTTAGGAGATCCGTTATTTGTGCAACAAGAATTTGGGTCCAAACCAGAATTGCAACATGCTGTGAAGATACATTGTATGAAGGGACGCAGACAGCCATAGTTGCAAAAAGCAAGATTTGTTATGAAGTGTAAAAACCATGCTGACGGTTGTCCTTGGTATATGAGGGAAATTAAGCCGAAGAAGGGAGCTAATTGGGTGGTCCGTAAATGGGGTCAAGGTCACACATGCCTAAATCAAGGCCTAGCACAGGATCATAGGCAGTTGGATTCAAATGTCATTTGTGCGGCTATAATGAGTATGTATTCTACTGTGTATTTAATGATTCATATTAATTGAGAATATGGTGAAGTTATTTTTTTTTCCAGATATGTTAAAGGAAGATCCATCCACAAGACCAGCTCTCATACAGGAGAGGATACAGGGAACATATGGATACAACATAACGTACAGGA